GCCAAGAGAGCTCAGGGGCTGGACAGCCAACAGTTATAGTCATCAAGTTTGTTTTACAATTTAAAATCCAGTTTTGTTTAAAAATGAACCCATTTGTGGACCTGACTGAGTTCACCCGAGGGCCTGATTTGGCCCCCGGACCACCAGTTGAATAGCCCTGAGCTAAAAAGTGTTTGAAGGAAGTTTGTTTATTTGTCATATGCAGGTTAACACAAGGTCAACAATGTAATGAAATGTTCAGGATGAGAAGAACCGTTTCAAATCGCAAAAAAAAATTAAAAATAGAAAAATTAACGTATTTAATAAAAAAGTGCAAAATAAAGTACCAAAAGTGAAGAAACAGAAATGTAAAGAGAGCGCCATTAATTTTCAATTAGAAAAACATGGCCGACAAAGTTAAATACTTTTAAATGCTTTAAAAGCATTCAAGAGATTTTTTTTATTCTGCATCACAGAGATTTAATGGATGAGATTGTCATCAAGAAGAAAGAAGTTCTTATTGAAAAACAACCCAAACTGAGCATCATCAGGTTCGTGTGTTCGTACCTGAGCGGTTCTGTGAGAGCGTCAGGGTCCTGGTTTGCTTCCGTCTCCTCTTCTTTTTCCTTTTTTCTTACTTCATGATATTCTTTTTCTTGCTTTAACGCCTACGGCGATAAAGCAAAGCACGTACTCAGCCCACAGGAGTGAAAAGATCATCAAACCCACATTCAAGCCGCCGATTTCCACGTTTCTTAACGAACCTCATCCAAGAGTTTTTCTGTGACGTCGTTAAGCGCGTCGTGGGAAAAGCGGCAGTTTCCTTCTTGTGAACATTTTCCTTTTCTGTGGAAGAACTTGCAAGGAAACGACTGTGCGTCTTAGTCAAAGAAAAATGCTGAACAAGAATGGGAGGGATGCCTGACTGTCGGCGCACACTGAAGGATGCTTCACTGAAGGTTCTTAATGATGCTGTTGAAGCACTGGATGCTAAGGATTATTGTGCTGCACTTTTCTTAGACCTGTCTAAAGCTTTTGACACTGTGGATCAGAACATCTTGTGTCATAAACTCTCAGAAATTGGTTTCTCAGAACACACCATTGGTTGGTTCTCTAACTATCTTTCAGACCGGAGGCAATGTGTTCAACATAATGGTACTTCCTCCAGTTATTTAACAGTCAACAATGGTGTACCACAAGGCTCAGTCTTAGGACCCACCCTCTTTACAATCTACATACATAATGTGGGTAAAAACATCCCTGATGCATCCATACATTTCTATGCTGACGACACAGTTGTTTATTGTCGAGCTAAAACAGTTGAAAAGGCTTTCCAGCTTTTGAAATCTGCATTCAACTACATCCAGACTGATTTATTCCGCCTCAAACTTGTCCTAAATGCCGACAAAACCAAAGGGATGCTTTTTTCAAATAGGAAGTTGGTCCCAGCAGTTCTTCCTCCGATTTTATCCTCAAATGGTGTCCCCATTGAGTTTGTTGATTCCTATAAATATTTGGGTATCTTGGTCGACTCACATCTCTCTTTTAAGCTCCATGTGGAAAACTTGGTAAAGAAACTGAAAGTTAAACTGGGTTTCTTTTTCAGAAACAGATCCTGTCTAACCCTGAATGCTAGAAAACGCCTTGTATCTGTGACTTTCCTTCCCTCCATTGATTATGGTGACATTATTTACATGAACGCTCCTACAAGAACCCTGCAGATGTTGGATGCTGTCTATCATGGTGCACTAAGATTCATAACTGGCTGTGATTATCGTACCCACCACTGCACCCAGTATTCACTGGTTAACTGGACATCATTAACTTCACGCAGACTCTCTCACTGGTACATTTTCATCTTTAAATCACTTCTTGGTCTGTTGCCTTCATACATCTCCTCCTACATGTCTCTGCGTGAGTGCAGCTACAGCGTGCGCTCTCAGGACATTATTACCTGCAGTGTTCCCTCAATGAGGACTGAACTAGACAAAAGAACCTTCTCCTACTCCGCTCCGGTTTCCTGGAATATCTTACAAAAAGATTTGAAGCTCTCGACCTTGACCTCTCTAAGTGGCTTTAAGAATCTGTTGGACTTCTGGCAGGGACCAATGCAGACATGTTCCTGTTTTTAGTTTTCTACATTCACCTTAGAATCTAGCTGTCTTTTTGTTACCTTTTCCTTTTAGCCATCCTATTTGTAAAAAAAAAACAAAAAACCCTGCAGTATGACTTTTTATAACTGTTTATTGTTGTTGCTGTTTCTTTGTTGAAATCAGGTCTCTCTTGTAAATGAGTCCTCGAGGCTCAATGGGATTTACCTGTATAAATAAAGGTTGATTGAAGGATATTGTGCATGTATATACAGGCGTCTCCTTTCTGGCAGAATCCTTGGATGTAAAACTTGCAGGCTTCTTTAATCATATCGTTGCAACCCTGAACGTGAAGCAGCTGGCACGTGTCTTCCTGCAGACGTAAAACGGGAACGTGAGGAACTCTGAATATGGAAGTTTACGTGTACGTTTTAGTTTCACCTGCCTTGATGCACCGCCCGAAAAGAAAATGCCGACACAATAATCGTCCGTCCACCAGCAAAGCATTCTGGTCCTTGAACTCCTGAGTCATGAATCTTGGTTTAGCCTTAAAGTCAGGAGAGGAAAGATGAGTAGAAATTCATAAAATACGTTTCAGCAGAGCGCAGTGTTACATTACACGCGGGATTAATTCTTCTTTACCTGTGTAATTATTCGGTCTCTGTAGCGCTGCTTGTTTTTATTGGTCTTCTGTGTCATCTTTCCATTATTTTTCTTGGATTTATAATGCTGACCATTGCAGCTCTGTTTGTTGATGTGGTCAGGTTTAGATCTTTGATTAGTTCTCACGCCGTTGGCTCGACCAGCAGAACAATAGTTCCCCGTGCTCTGCTTCTGGTGACGTTTGGCCGGTGAGTAACTGTCTCCGAAGGCATGAGACGCTGAGGTTTTCTGGAACTGAGAACAGCTCTTCTGTTCAAAAACAGAAATTAAAACAAGATATTTGTAAATAAAACTCAGATAAGTCATATTTTAGTATATCAGATGCACCATGACCAGTAAAAGAAAAAAGGAAAATATCTTTTTTTTTTCTACTTGGACTGAAAAAACAGTTGTGATGATGTCATAGTCAACTTAGATTACAAAACATCAACTCTCCGTACATAGTGATAATCCTTTAAATAATAATTTCAACTTCAGATATATTGGGATTTTAGGTCATATCCATCATCTACTGTTTATCCTGGTCAGGGCGTGGAGGCAACAGGTCTAGGAGAGAAACCAGACCTCCCTCTCCCCAGCTCCTCCTGAGGGGCCCCGAGGTGTTTCCAGACCAGAGATGATACATAATCCCTCCACAGAGTTCTGGGTCTACCCCCAGTGGGACATGCTGGAAAAATCTTTAAAGGGATGAGTCCAGGAGGCGTCCTGACCACCTCAACTGAATCCTTTAGATGCAGAAGAACAGCAGCTCTACTACGAGCTCCCCATGGATGACAGAGTTCCTCACCTCTAAGGCTGAGCCCAGCCACCCTACAAAAGGAGGCTCATTTCAGCCACTTGAACCAGGATCTGGTCCTTTCGGTCATGATCTAAACCTCACCACCACAGCTGAGAGTTAGAACGTAGACCGACCAGTAAATCCAGAGCTTTGCCTTTCGACTCAACTCTTTCTGACTGAAGCAACTCCCTCATACTGAGGATGACGCCCCAAACTCTTGATCCATCCTACCACCACTCAGAAAGAAGACACCCAGATACCTGAACTCCTCCACCGGTCATGTACTTGAATAACTCAGCCACCTAAACCTTTGCTCTCTCGTTTGGGTCTTTAGCGAAATTAATTTTTATTTCCTAAAGACACGACTTTCAGATATCGTTCATCTGCTGGAGACGGTTTGTATTGTAGGCCCGACACTTCCAGGTGTCCAGTTTCATCAGATTTGTTTAGAAGACAAACTGAACACCACGTTGATATTTTATCCAACGGCGTTGTGGGGTGCAAAATCATATTCTCTGTTATGTTTAGCATTTTCCCACAGATTTAACTAAAGAAATGGAAACATTTTCTGTGTTTGTGTGACCCTGTTGTAACAAAGTATTCAGACGACCCGTTTTAAACGTTTCTCTGAGAAGTTGTGCGTCAACAGCAACTGGTTCGTTTGAGACTTTTATGCCTGGATGATTCAATGGCTTTAAATACAAACACTCTGAGACTTGTCAGGAGCAAGACATAGATGAAAACTGAGTGAAAATGTAGCCAAAGTCTAAAAAAAAAAATGTTGAAAGATCTTCAGGAAGACTGCAAACAATTAAATCAGTTTACAATATTATAAAAACGTCTAAAAGTTTTACATTAGTACTGTCATTCAGACTGAATTCAGTTCACCTTTCTGTAGGAGCCGTGTTGTTCATCCTGTGTTTTCCTCTTCATCCATCTCGCACCACCACGATTCTCACTTTTGTTTCTAAAATCACAAAACAACTAATGTAAACAATGAACGAGACGCAGTTGCTTAAAATAAATACACTTTTATCACCTAAATGTGCAGCCGGATCGATCAGGACTCCTCACATCTTCATCAAAAGAAGCCAGTTTGGAGAACAAGTTAGAAAAAGCCATTTTATCCTCAATTATAGATGATCCTCAAAGTAAACAAACTGTAGCACGGGCATGCGAGAGACACGCTAAAGCTATGCTAGCTGCAACAAACTCCATCACCTGGATACATTTGTCTTGTTTTGTTGCCTAATTAAACCTGGAAATGTTTTTGCTCAAACAAGTCAAAGAAACAGAGCATTGATTAACTCTGCCATACTCTACCGATGCTAAACGACGTTAACTCAACGCGTGAGAAAGGTACAGAGTTCTTCTTCTTCGTTTTAATGACGGTTTACCGGAAGTTGAAAACGCTGCAGCGCCACCTGCTGCTGCGGAGTGTGAACCAGACGCTGCACGTTCACAAATGGATAAATAAATGTGACCATCACTTGTATTTCTTCCAAGATTTCTTCTAGTTTTTCTTGAACTGCTTTTAACGCGTCATATTTTCCAGTTAAATAAAGTAATGATGATAAAAAACAAAAAACAGCAAAGCCAAGACTTGATGAATCATCCTTCAGCTGACCAACTGTGTTTTCATCCAATGGCACTTTAAGAATCACATTCTTGGTGCTAAATCCTATTTTTTAACTATCAAATTATTTTCTATCCATCCATTATCTTCATCTTGTTCTGGACTCAGGTCTCGGGAACAGCATCTCGAGCAGGGAGGTCCAGACCTCTCTCTCCACAGCCACCTCTTCCAGATCTTCGGAGAGGACTTTAATGTGTCCAAGGTGTCTCCTTCCAGTTGGTGAGGATAGACATGACGGATTGTGTCTGTGTTCCAAAGACAACAAACTGCCTACTAAAGTGTGATTTAAAAAAAAATGTATCATCTTCTAATTTGTCTGTGTGTGTCAACACACTCCAGTTTGCTTCAGTTATATATATATATATATATATATATATATATATATATATA